TCATTTCCTGTTCTGCAACTCTCACATGGTATAGAGCGGGTTCCCTGTGGGAAATTCGCCTAGGGCCCACCGAAGCGCGCCCCGAGGCGCGCCAACTTTTTTTTTTTTCTCTCTCTCGAGCGACCCTCCGTGTCGCCCTTGCCTCGCGACCCCGCCGCCCTCTCTGACGCGGCCCCGCCGCCCATTTCGAACGCGGCCCCGCCGCCTGCTCAGACGCGGCCCCGCCGCCTGCTTAGCCGCGGCCCCGCCGCCCACTACAACGCGGCCCCGCCGCCTGCTTAGACGCGGCCCCGCCGCCTACTCACCCGCGGCCCCGCCGCTCGCTACGACGCGGCCCCGCCGCCTGCTCTGCCGGCCCCGCAGCTGCACCTGACGGCCCTGTCGTCCCCTCTGCTGGCCCGCCGCTGCACCTGCCGGCTCGTCGCTGCACCTGACGGCCCCGCCGCTGCACCTTACGGCCCCGCCGTTCCCCCTGACGGCCCCGCGGTCCCCTCTGCCGGCCCCGTAGCTGCACCTGACGGCCCCGCCGTCCCCTCTGCTGGCCCACCACTGCACCTGCCGGCCCGCCGCAGCACCTGACGGCCCCGCCGCTGCACCTGACGGCCCCGCCGCTGCATCTGCCGGCCCGCCGCTGCACCTGACGGCCCCCGCCGCTGCACCTGCCGGCCCGCCGCTGCACCTGACGGCCCCGCCGCTGCACTGGCCGGCCCGCCGCTGCACCTGCCGGCCCGCAGCTGCACCTGACGGTCCCGCAGCTGCACCTCCCGGCCGCGCCGCCTAAGCAGCCGAGCCGCCGTAGCAGCCGAGCCGCCCCCAGCAGCCGAGCCGCCCCAGCAGCCGAGCCGCCTCAGCAGCCGAGCCGCCCCAGCAGCCGTGCCGCCCGAGCCGCCCGAGCCGCCGAGTCGCCCGAGCCGCCCAGCAGTCGAGCCGCCGTGCCGCCCGAGCCGCCCGAGCCGCCCGAGCCCCCCCCCCCCCCTGCACTGCCCTGTCTGGTGAGCACTGAGCTTTACTCTGCGCACTGCCCTCTCTCTACTGCTGTCATGGCTACCCCCAGTGTCCTCGCCTTTGACGCTGAGGGCAGAGCCATCGACTTTGACGTGTGGGTAGACGACCTACTGCTTTTCCTACAGTGCGACAGAGCTGACGGACTCTCTCTCTTTGATCTCACCTCTGGTGCCTCTCCCGCCCCTGCTGCTACTGAGGATGCCACTGTTCACTCACAGTGGGCCACACGCGATGCTGCTGCACGTCTTGCTGTGCGTCGCCACCTCCCTCCCGCTGAGCGTGCGCACTTTGGGTCGTACAAGAGTGCTAAGACCTTGTACGACGCCGTTATCGCACGCTACTCCACCCCTGCCACTGCTGCACTGAGCCGCCTCATGCTACCGTACCTCTTTCCCGACCTTGCTGCTTTTGCCACAGTAGCCGACCTCATTACCCACCTGCGCACTAGTGACGCTCGCTTCCGCGCTGCACTTCCTGCTGAGTTCTGCGCCAAGAACCCCCCCCCCCAGTACTTCACTCTCTACTACATTGTCACCCGCCTCCCTGACTCCCTTCAAGGAGTCAGGGACGACCTACTCGCAGTCTGCCCCACCACTCTCACTGTCGAGCTCCTCGAGAAGTCCCTCCTAGCAGCCGAGAAGAGCATTCTCGCTGTAGGGGCCTCTCGTGGTGACCCACGCACCCCCATCTTTGAGGGGTGTTCCCCTTCCCCCCTCCTGCCCTCTGTCGCCTCTACTGCTACGGCCGACCTTGTTGGCTTTGAGTCGGTCGGTGCGGCGTCTGCACCCAGCGGGAGACGTCGCTCTGGCAAGAGCAAGGGGGGCAGGGGCGGTGGTGGAGGCGGCGGGGGCGGTGGAGGCGGCGGTAGAGGCAGCGGAGGAGGTGAGGGTGGTAGCGGAAGTGGTGGCGGGAGTGGAGGTGTCGGCGGAGGCAGTGGAGGCGGGGGCGGCAGCGGCGGTGGTAGTGGGGGTGGAGACGGAGGCGGCGGTGGCGGCGGCGACGGTGGGAGTGGCGGTGGCAGCGGAGGTGGTGGCGGCGGCAGCGGAGGAGGCGGCGGAGGTCGTGGCGCATCGAGGAGGAGTGGCTCCGGTGGTGGTCAGCGCCAGCAGCAGCAGCGTGGTCAGGAGACCCTCTCCCCACAGCAGCTCCGTGAGTGGTACGCTGCACGTCAGAGGGGTGGGGGTCCTGGTCCGTGCACCTACGTCCTGCGCACTGGCGACCGTGCGGGTGAGCAGTGTGGTGGTCCACACTCCGCCCAGCGCTGCTTCGGCCGCCTGACTGACGCTTGGCGCCGCCAATTTCCTGACGCCTCTGAGATCCCTCGCTGGGACCAGCTGTCTAGGGCAGGAGTAGCTATCTTTGATCTTGACTTTGATGCTATTCTTCGTGCCATGTATGCTGTGACTATTAGTGAGGAGGGTGACTGTTACCGGTGTTTCCCGCCCGACCCAGGCATTGGTACTGCGGCTCCAGGTGCTGTTGAGACTGCTGCGCTAGGTGCTGTTGAGGCTGCTGCTCTAGGTGCTGTTGCGGCTGCTGCTCTAGGTGCCAGTGAGTCTGTGTCCCCAGGTGCTGGTGAGTCTGCTCTCTCAGGTACAGCGTCGGCTCCCACCTCTCTCACCTTCACTCTTGACTCAGGAGCGTCTCGCTCCTTTCGAGACCGCACCACACTCACGCCGCTTAGTCGGCCTGTGGCAGTCTCCCTGGCGGACCCCTCTGGGGGTCCTGTTCTGGCTCGCTACTCCACTGTCCTTCCGTGCCCTGCGGTCCCGTCTGGCTCCCTGTCCGGTCTCTACCTCCCCTCGTTCTCTACGAACTTGGTGGCGGGTGCTGACCTCCAGGATGCAGGGGTTGACCAGTTCACCCCTGCACGCCGACGAGACACCCACTGCACGGACGCGGACACGGGTCGACACTTGACCACATTCACACGTGGGCCAGGGTCGAGCCTGTACACCCTCACTGTTCCGTCTCCTCCTCCTGCGTCTGGTCAGGTAGCTGCGTCGGGTCAGGTGTTCGCTGCAACGTCCAGGTCTTGTCCGGAGTCTGCTCCCTGCTCGTGTCGCCTCCTGTCCCACGAGACCCTCCTGTGGCACCACAGGATGGGTCACCCCTCCCTGCCCCGTCTCCGGGGCATGGCCTCTCGCCTTCTTGTCTCTGGTCTTCCCCGGTCCCTCCCTCCCCTTCCTCCAGGGCCTGGCCCTCCCTGTGTCCCCTGTGTCGAGGGTCGCCTACGGGCTACCCCTCACTCCTCCCCGTTTCCTCCGACGGAGGCCCCGATGCAGACACTTCACATGGACGTGTGGGGCCCAGCCCGCGTCCGTGGACAGGGTCACGAGCGCTACTTCCTGCTGGTGGTTGACGACTACTCGCGTTACACCACAGTCTTCCCCTTGCGCAGCAAGGGTGAGGTCACTAAGGTGTTGATCGACTGGATCCGCGCAGCTCGTCTCCAGCTCAGGCGGAGCTTCGGCTCGGACTTTCCTGTTTTGCGTCTGCACTCTGACAGAGGCGGAGAGTTCTCCTCCGGCCTTCTGCGAGCCTACTGTCGGGCACGAGGCATCCGCCAGACCTTCACGCTTCCGGACTCTCCACAGCAGAATGGGATTGCTGAGCGCCGCATCGGCATTGTCATGGACGTCGCCCGTACGTCCATGGTGCATGCGGCTGCCCCCCATTTTCTGTGGCCGTTTGCGGTTCGGTACGCCGCGCATCAGATCAACCTTCAGCCCAGAGTCTCCCGACCGGAGACCTCCCCAGCTTTGCTGTGGACGGGGAAGGTTGGCGATGCGTCGGCGTTCCGTGTCTGGGGATCTCGGGCGTTTGTCCGCGACTTGTCTGCGGACAAGCTGTCCCCTCGTGCTGCTCCCTGTGTCTTCCTTGGCTTCCCCACAGACGCTCCCGGGTGGCAGTTTTACCACCCCTCCTCTCATCGTGTTCTGTCCTCCCAGGACGTCACGTTCGACGAGTCAGTCCCCTTCTACCGCCTCTTCCCCTACCGCACTCCTTCCCTCCCCCCTCCACCGGACTTCCTTGTGCCAGTTCCCCCCCCGGTAGACCCCCTCCCCCCTCAGGTTCCTGCCCCCTCAGGTGTGTCCTAGGTAGACGCAGTTGACCCGGTCGAGGTTACTGGTGACTCTGGTGCTGCTGCGGGTGCTGAGCCTGGGGGTGCTGACTCTGGGGGTGCTGTGCGCGGGGGTGCCGAGCCTGGAGGTGCTGCTACTGGGGGTGCTGAGCCTGGGGGTGCTGGGCCTGGGGGTGCTACTGCGGAGGGTGCTGAGCCTGGGGGTGCTGAGCCGGGGGGTACTGTGCCTGGAGCTGCTGAGCTAGGGGGTGCTGGGTCTGGGGGTGCTGGGTCGGGAGCTGCTGAGCCTGGTGGTGCTGCGTCTGGAGCTGCTGAGCCTGGGGTTTCTCCTGCTGCTGCATCTCGCCGGGAGCCCCTCTCTCCACAGGAGCTGCGCGAGTGGTTTGCGCGCCGCTAGAGGCGTGCTGCTGGAGCTGGAGCTTCTTCGACCGTCGAGGGTGCTGGTGCTGCCGGTCCCGGAGCTGCTGGGCCTGCGGGTACTACTGGAGCAGGAGCTGCTGAGGGTGTTGGTGCTGAGACTACTGCTGTCTGTCTCGGCGGTGGTTCTGCTGCTGGTGCTGCTGGAGGTCCTGCCGCTGGAGGTGTTGGTGGCGCTGGTGCTGTCGCTGAGGGTGCTGGTGCTGTCCCTGCTGAGTCTGGAGCTGCCGCGCGGCCTCGGCCGTACTTCGTTCCGCTCCTGCAGCAGGTTCTTGGTCTTTCTCCTCCGGTAGAGTGTTCACAGCCTGTCCAGTCGCAGTCACTGTTGGAGCCTTCCTCCCCACTGCCTGCTCCCTCTCCTTACACTGGTCCTACTAGAGGTCTTGCTGAGCGTCGTGAGCCTGCGTCTCGTCCTGCGTCGCCTGTTCGTACTGCTCGCACTAGTGGTCGCGGTTCGCGTCAGCGTCCTCCTCCTGTCCCTGGCACGCACCGGATGTCTCTGCGTCCGTCCACTGCTCCTCTGCGTGCCCCTTTGCCTTCTCCTCCTGAGTCCTCTCTTCCTGCGCTTACCGACCCTGAGTCGGACTCTCTTCGTGCTGCCAGTCCTACTGTCACGCGTCTGCTTGCTACTGTCGTCACTGACCCCTCTTTTGGGTCCACTGCTGCGTCTGCTCTTGTCGCTGAGCTCGTCGACTTTGCTGCTCGCTGTCGTCTAGACTACGCTGCTAGTCTTGTTGCTGAGTCTGCGTCTGTCTGTCCTCCGTCCGTCGGGGGTGAGTGTGCTCTTGGCACGGACGTCCTAGAGGACAGGCAGGAGGAGTTCCAGTGTCTGGCTGCTGCTTCACCTCTTCTCACGTCTGTACTGCTTGCTCCTGAGGGAGACCCGGATGCACTAGACATCCCGACTCCGCGCTCTTACGCGGAGGCCGTAGAGGGTCCCTACTCGTCTCAGTGGCAGGCAGCTATGGATGCAGAGATGGCTTCCTGGAAGTCCACAGGCACCTACGTTGACGCGGTTCCCCCGCCTGGGGCGAACATCGTCAGTGGCATGTGGATCTTCAGGGTGAAGCGGCCGCCGGGTTCTCCGCCTGTCTTCAAGGCGCGGTACGTTGCTCGTGGCTTCAGTCAGCGGCAGGGAGTTGACTACTTTCAGACCTTCTCTCCCACCCCGAAGATGACTACTCTTCGGGTGCTGCTGCACATAACCGCTCAGCGCGACTACGAGCTTCACTCTCTCGACTTCAGCACTGCGTTCCTGCAGGGTAGCCTGCACGAGGAGATCTGGCTGCGCCGTCCACCTGGCTTCACTGGGACTTTCCCTCCGGGCACCCAGTGGAGCCTCCGACGGCCATTCTATGGTCTCCGCCAGGCACCGCGTGAGTGGCACGACACACTGAGGACTACGCTTGCGGCTCTTGGGTTTGCTCCCTCTACTGCTGACCCGTCGCTGTTTCTGCGCACCGACACTTCTCTGCCGCCGTTCTACATCCTCGTGGACGTCGACGACTTGGTTTTTGCCACAGCGGACACTGCTGGACTCGCCTACGTGAAGTCCGAGCTGCTGAAGAGACACACGTGCACAGACTTGGGTGAACTGCGCAGCTACCTTGGCTTGCAGATCACTCGGGACAGAGCACGCCGCACCATTACCTTGACTCAGTCACACATGGTGCAGCAGGTCCTTCAGCGCTTCGGCTTCACGTAATCCTCGCCTCAGGCCACTCCTCTGTCTACTCGCCACTCGCTCTCAGCTCTGCCTTCGGATGAGTCCGTAGAGTCGAGTGGCCCGTACCCAGAGCTTGTTGGCTGCCTCATGTACCTGATGACCTGCACACGACCTGACCTGGCATACCCTCTGAGCATTCTTGCACGCTATGTTGCTCCTGGGAGACACCGACCAGAGCACATGGCTGCAGCGAAGAGGGTATTGCGCTACCTGTGCAGTACGTCGGGCATGGGGCTAGTGCTTGGAGGGCGGAGTCCAGTGGTCCTCACAGGGCACGCGGACGCTTCTTGGGCTGACGACCAGGCTACACAGCGGTCGTCACAGGGTTACACCTTCAGTCTTGGTTCCGGCTCTGTTTCGTGGCGGGCTACTCGTTCGTCTTCGGTTCTCAGCTCCAGTTGTGAGGCCGAGATCTACGCCGGGGCCATGGCTGCACAGGAGCTTCGCTGGCTCACCTACCTGCTGACTGACCTTGGAGAGCCGCCTCGTTCTCCTCCAGTGCTGTACGTAGACAACAAGGCCATGCTGGCCTTGTGTCGAGAGCAGCGTCTGGAGCACAGAACGAAGCACATTGCTCTTCGCTACTTCCTTGCTCGTGAGCTACAGCAGCGTGGACAGTTGCGGCTTGCGTACGTGGCCTCTGAGGCCAACACTGCTGATGTGTTCACCAAGGCACTCGCGCCTTGTGACCATCAGCGCTTCTGCACCCAGCTGGGTCTTGTGCCTGTCTTGCCTCACTTGCTCTCCTCTTGACTTTACTTGTACTGTGACATATATATACCTGCTCTTGCTTATCTAGTTTTATATATATATGTCTGTACTTCTGCATGTGAACTGGCCTCTGGCCCTGCTCTTGTGCTTAGACTGTGTGGTGACTTTGTGATCCACCCTGAGCTTGCTTTGCTTCACTTTGCTTGAATGGTCTTGTGACCCCTTGTTCTCCCCCACTTTGCCTATGGGGTTGTGTCAGATATATATGACATAGCTGTTGTAGGCTATAATGGGGTAGCACATATGGGGTACAGCTCTCTAGGGTTTGCTTTTTGTACCCAACTTTGACTTAGTCATTTCATTTCCTGTTCTGCAACTCTCATAGTGAGGTAGTTGGCGGAATCCGATGCGAGTGAGACGGGTGTGTAGATGTTGTTGCCACAGCCGTGGGGCTTGTTTGATTCCGTAGAGCGATTCCAGTAGCTGGCAGACCTGATTAGGATTTCCGTGAGTGCCGTGTGGGAGTTCGACGAAGATTTCGGCGTCGACGGGTGCGTAGAGGAATGCGTTGGCGACATCGATTTGTCGCAGCTTCTTCTTCTTCATGGCGGCGACGTCGAGAAGGATTCGGAGAGAGGTGTGTCGACTAACTGGGGCGAATGTCTCGGTGAAGTCTCGTCCTTGCTCCTGGTCGAATCCATGCACGACCCAGCGTGCTTTGAACTTCTCAATTGTGCCGTCTGCTTTTGTTTTGATGCGGAAGACCCATTTCCCGGTGAGAATGGTCTTGTTCCTTGCCACGCTTGCGGGAACGACCTTCCAGGTGTTGCGTTCCTCCAATACCTTTAATTCCCTGTCCATGGCTTCACGCCATTTCTCCCTGTGTTCCCCCCATAGAGCCTGCTGAACTATCGCAGGCTCTTTAGGAAGAGCGTTGCCTGTGTTCCCGTGGACTGCGGTGACGAGACCGAGGATCTGCAGCCCAGTCTGTGAGTATCGGGGTAGTGTTGGATCCTCGGGATAAGCTGCTTCGTCTCCCGCTTCTGGGTCGGGTATGAAATTTGGTCCTATGCGTTCTGCGTCATTTGTGTTGACTGTCGCAGGCGTTACGTAACCGTTATCGGCGAAGTGATAGAAGACTTCGGCGTTGTTACTGTCGCGAGGATTTTCTTCGTCCATGGGCACGTCGACGGAGCAGTACGGGAGAGGTCCGGCTTCTTCCGATGCGTTGTCGACGTTCTGTTCATCCCAGTCTGCTTCGTCCGCTGCTGAGGCGAAGGCTCGGTCACCACGAAAGCCACTTGTGAGGTCCCGATTCTCGTGCAAGTTGGCGAGGTACGTCTGAAGGGTGAGTCGCTCGTAGAAAATCACATCACGTCCTGCTACTGTTTCCTTTGTGTGGACATCGAAGATTTTCCACGCGTTGTAATTTTTCTCTATGCCGAGGTGTAGTCTCCACTGCGCCCGTTGTGAAAATCTTCCCGCTCGTGCTTCTGGGGGTCGGTACTGTACCATGCATCCGAAAACTCGTAACATTCTTGTGCTGCCCAGCTTTCCTGTCCACAGCAGATGCGGTGATGTGTTGTTCGGGAGTGACGACGACGATAGCAGGTTGTGCAGCATGACAGCATGGTCCATTGCTGCTGGCCACTGGTGGTTGGGTAGCCGCATGCCACGTAGTAGTTTGTGCATGCTGTTCTGCAGAGTCCTGTTCATTCTTTCTGCAACACCTTGCTGCTGATGTGCGTAGGGAAGGGAGAGGAGTTGCTTGATTCCCCTTTCCGCCAGGTACTGCTTGAAGCGCTGAGAGGTGTACTCTCCTCCTCCGTCTGACTGGAAGCTTTTCAGTTGTGTTCCTGATTCCCTTTCTCCTACCGGTAGCCAAGCGGCGAATGCTCCTAGTGCCATGTCACGGCTGGGTAGGTTTCGATGCCAGACGTATCGAGTGGCGGCGTCGATGAAGGTTATCGTGTAATTGTAGGTAACTTGTCCTGGTTCGCGATTTAAAAGGATGTCGCTGTAAACTTTCTCGAGTGGTGCGTATGCAGGTGCACTCGGGTTGTGGTGAGAAGAAAACGGTCGATGGGGTAAGTCGGCTTCAGGGCAGATGTTGCAAGTTCCTCGTGCCCGTTGAAGTTCTCTGCCGTCGATTAGTAGTAGCGAATCCTTGTCTAGGACTCCTGCTCGTATCGTGTTGTTTAACACAGTGTTGCTTGGATGTCCTGTGCGTGCATGCCAGATGTCTTCGCAGGCGCGGTGTCCGGGTGAACGTTGATACACGTCGGAGTTGGAGTAGAAGCTGGCGACGAGGTTTGCGCTTCGGTGGACTTCTCGTTGAGTCGGGTTCAGCTGTTGTGCGGGTGTCGGTGGTGCTTCGTCGACGATGACTGGTGTTGTTGGTCCTGCTGCTGCCGATGATGGTTCTGCTGCTGCCGATGTTGTCTCTTTTGCTGCCAATGTTGTTTCTGCTGCTGCCGATGTTGTCTCTGCTGCTGCCGATGTTGTCTCTGCTGCTGCCGTTTGTTGAATCGTTGCTAACGCTCGTGTTCGTTCTGCTTCAGGGATGGTGTGCGAGTACCAGAAGCCTCCCGGGCTGAAGTCAGGATCGAGGTCCGGAGGATGTGTCCAGTCGGTGAAGTTGACGATGGCGTCACTGTCTGCAGTGCCCAGGTCGGGGACGAAATCAAGAACGAAGACGTTGTTCTTCAACACCGCCTTTCCGATGTAAAGGCCGCCCTTCCCTAGGTATAACTTAAACTCCTGGGTGGTGCTGTCGGCTTCCAAGTGGATCCTTTTCGCCATCAGCTGGCTAACACTCAGTAGGTTATAGCCGAGTCCCTCCGCGATAAGTACCTTTGACATATGTAATATGACATTTGTCTCTCGTGACTGAAGTTGTACCACTCCTTGTCGTCGTGTGCGCAGGTTCTGATTGTTGGCGACCGTGATGACTACTTCTCGCTGGAGTCGATGTTCGCGTTGAACGAAGCGCCCGGAGGAGCACATATGTTGTCCGCAGCAACTGTCCAAGAACCAAGTGTCTTGGCCGGACGGTTCGCTTTGAGCGATGGCGGCGTACGTCGGATTCGGCTGGAGTGATTCGCGACGAGGCGTCCTGTTGTCAAGCTCTTCTTCTGGTGAGTAGTGGGGTGGTGACTCGGGTGTGCAAGAATCGGTTATCTCCACCATGCAGTTGACGATGCTTCTTGTTCCTTGTGCAGATTGTCCAGTTGAAGTCGTTGAGGCTTGGGTTGTGGTCGTCGGATTTGCTTGCGTTGAAGCAACTTGGGAGCTTGAAGGCCGGAGTTGTCGCTGTGGTGTCGTCGACTGCTGACGAGACGGGCAGTGCGTGCGGGGATGGCCCGAAGTCTTGCAGATGTGGCAGAACGGAGGTACCGTCTTCACTTGTTGCTATTGTCGATTGTTGTTGCCGTTGTATCGTCGTTGAGTGTGAAACGCAAACTCCGGTGCTAATGTTTTCTTCTTGTGCCTTTATTCTTGCAGGTCCATGTCCTGCTGTTCGGCGTGGATTTCAGTGCAGAGTGCCGCTTTGGAGATCCTCCCGTGTGCTCGCAATATGGCGCGAGTGGAGCGCCAGTGGGGTCCGAGACCGCCGATGACCACCGTGACAAAAGCGTCTTCTGAAATCGACCCTCCGCATCGAAGAAGCTTGTCGCGCAGTTCGCGACAGCGGCTGATATAAGCCATGCCTTTCTCGCCTGGTTTCATTTCAATCGTTGTCAGTTGCGCCATTAACCTGCTTTGAATTACGCTGTCTGTTGCTTGATACAGGTTCTTCAGGTGATTGTACGCGAGCTCCGAGGAGTTGCCGTAGCCTCGGTAAGTCCTGATGTTCTGCTGCTGGGTCGGGGTGATGTTCCTCAGCAGTATCGTGTACGCCATCATCGATTGATACGTATATTGCTGCTTATATTGCGTCCCGTTTGTTGGATATGGCAGGGACCCGTCGAAGAAGCCGAGAATCTGTGCTCCTTCCATCATAAGCTCGAACTCGAACGACCAGGTGAAGAAGTCTTTGCCGTCGAAGGGCTTTGTCGTTTGCAGCTTTAGGACATGCGCGAATTGCGATTGAACTTGTAATGCGTCCAATCCCCTTTCTTGTCCTGGTGCAGATTGAGGTTGCGGCATGAAGCTGACGGAGCCACGTTGGGGCTCGTATTGCGCAAAGGTAGGCTGCTGTTGTTGTTGTTGAATTCCGCGTGCGTAGGATGAGCCGTCGAGACTCATAGGAGTCACGTTGTTGTTGTTGCTGTTGTTTGACTGCGCAGGCACTCCTTGCTGGTGCTGCTCGTAGAAGGACATGAAGGAGAAGAACTTCTCCATCCTGCTTGGATCGAAGCCTGCGGGTGTTTCCGTGGATCCAGCTGCTGGTCTCGTGGTAGTTCCTTCTTCTGTCTGTAGGCCAGAGACAGGAGGTGGAGTAGGAGTAGTGCCTGGAGAACCGTTGGAGGAGCTCCTCTCCTTCCTATTAGACATGTCTTCTTGTATTTGAGTGTTAAAAGAGGATAACTTTAAACTCTAACTGCTCTCATACCATGTTGGGCTGAGGTGCCCTAGGATCTTTGTAGAGTTTAAGTTTGAGTAGAGTTGTAATAGCGGAAGCGTTAAATGAAGGTCCTTGAACCACCTTGCGCTAGTACCGTATTCTCCCGGATAAAACACCCTAGGGTATTATGAAAACCACCGGAAAAAAATGGGGGGGGTCTCCTCAACGGAAAATCCTGTATAATACCCGGGTCTTATTATATTGTATATTTTTTATGAAACATAAATGATGTGAAACAAAATGTGGGGTGTCACTTCACTTCTAGATTGTTGATCAGTACCGCAAAACCGAGTACGAGGATATTGTGGGCCACTTGGGCCACTTCACCTCTTGGACCACTTGCAGTGGAAGATTCGCCATCATGACGACAGCGAGATTTTGTGATTCGCCAGCGTGACGACAACGAGATTGTGGGAGGGGGGATATCTCGGCCGATTCTATGTGAAAGTACATGCGAAATTTCTTTTAGGGAGTGATTTTCGCGATATCCTCCCGTAAGGAATCGGACTCGATAACATCCATAATAGGAATCTATAAGAAAAGGGGGGTGTTATAGAGAATCACCCCAAAAGGGGGGGTATAGTACTAACGGGGTCGGATATAACACCCACCCCGTATTAGCTACCCGGGGGTGTACAATTATGGGGGGGTGTTTTATCCGGGAGAATACGGTAGTTACATAATGCTGGGTTGCTGGGTTGTAGAGGCGGGGCATGGATATTTTACATAATGTGTTTATCATTTTGCAGAGGATTTGCCCTTTTTCAAGTTGTAAACTTGACATCAGTGGTGCAGATAGGCACACAATATACGGCATTCACTGTATTGACAACTTGTTTCTTTCTTCCATGCTGTCATGTAAACAAAAAGGAATTCTTAATGCCAACACATTCACCAATTGAGCTTAAGTAACAATGTTACAGAGCGCCCACTACATTTATTCTCTCACAAGACTATTCTTACATGTGTGCCAGCATCACCATCGGTGAAAGCATTATTGCTGAGGACTCTTTCGGTACCACTAGTAGTAGCATCATGCAGGGCTGCTTGGCAAGCTGGTTGAACGCTCTTCTGTCCTCACATACGCAATGCTGGGGTGGGTAAAAGGTACAACAGAACGCTATTCACCAGGAGAACCCCCATCCCATGTTGCACGAGTGGAGCTGCAAGCCCTCTGGCTGCACTGCCTGCTGCACCAGCTGCCATGCTGCTGCATTTGTGCCAGCTGTTCTCATGAGCAGCTGACACACTCAGGCCACGCACATGGGCTGCTGGACCCTCATCCACGCCGTGCCTTCTCCTTATGCCAGTGCGCCTGTGTCACGTCACGAGATGCCGTGTCTTGGGCTTGTACAACGCATATTCTCCGGTGGGTCTGCAACAGCTGGTTTATCGGTGCAGCGGGCGGAGACACAATGCAGGCCACGCAGGCTGCTGGACCATCAACCATGCCGTGCCTTCTCCTTGTGCCGGTGCTCCTGTGTCACGACATGCCGTGCCTTCAGCTTGTGCAGTGCATATTCCCCAGTGGGTCTGCAACAGCTGGTTTGTCGGTGCAGCGGGCGGAGAGGGCAAGGGAGCGATGAAGGGAAGGGGTGTGAGGGGAAAGGTGATGTGGTGGGTGGGGTTTGGCGTGGTGAGACGGCAGAGATGGCACATGGACTGATGGCAGGGCACATGGACTGATGGCAGGGCACATGGACTATGATGCAAGACTCATTGGTGATGATGGTACTCACGGTTAATGAGGGGGGGCATGTGAGAAGGGGGAAGGGAGAGGATACAGAGCGGAGGCATGTAGATGGATGTATGTGACAAGGCGTCATTGTGACTCCTGAATGCGACTAGAAGTCTTTGAGACTACTTCTGATTTCGGTGGTGAGAGGGTAAGAAGAAACGGGTAAGAAGAATGACGAGATGTTGTCTGTAAGAACACTTACAGCTGACGATCCTGAGAGAGGAATGAGTTGGTGAAGTTCTGGAGTGATGGAGCGAAGCATGTGGTGAGTCCAGGAATGCTGAAGCATCTGCCTGCCCAGGTCTGATAATGTTGATGCTGAGGGTGAGGGCAATTGGGAAGCAAAGAAAGTGTAGGGTTAAGAAGGGAGGGGGCGAAGTGGATGGATGGACAAGAGGGGAAAGGGTTATGGAATGCGCATGAAAAGCATCATCTACGCTTGATTCTCCTGACAAATTGGCAGCTGCTTAGCATGGTACTGTATCGCCATCATTCTTGAGCTTCTACTTCTCTCATCCCCACAATGTTGCTTTCTTCATGCCGATGTTCTCACTATCGGATTCCCACTGACATGCTACTGTAATCATGTTCTAATACACGGTATTCATATGGCAGCAACCTTGCTCACGAGGGATGGACACTGGGAGAGGGCATGAGCAATGTCAGGGAGGTGTGGGAGGGCAGAAGCAGCAGAGGGAGGGCAGGGAGGGGAGGGAGGAGAGGGAGCGGAGAGAGGGGAGGGGAGAGAGGGGAGGGAGGATATGGGATGCATGGAATGGAAACAAGGGGCAAGGAGTCAAGCACTCGTGCAAGCACTCACCCGGGCGAGGTTGGTCATGGGTCCCTCCCAGCTGCACCATGCTGATCTGCCTGGGCCTCCTCGCCACCTCCTCACACATCCACTCCCACGCCCTCCGCTCCGCCCCTTTCCCTGCCCTGCCCTGAGCGCTTGCCTGCTTCCCCTGTCCCCCCTACTTCCATCCCCGCCACTAGCAGCAGCACTATGAGTGGCAGCTAAGGTATCATTGATGCCAGAGACGCTAGTGGCGGGGTCAGCATGTGGGGTTGCGGGAGGTGCAAGCAGCAGCACTCCCGCCAGTCCGTCTGGGCCCGGAAACGAGGAGCATGCGGTCAGAGAGAGAGAGCTCTGAGGATGTCCCTGGTGCTGACGGTGTTGCTGGTGGGGCACGGCTGCTGGTGCTGGTGATGCTGCTGGTTGCGGTGGTCTCAAGGGCGTTCGACTGTTGAACAGACAACGAGAGGGAGAAAAGGGAGACACGATGGGTGGGCGGGTGGAGGAGAGGGGGTGAGGGAAGTGGAAAAAGGGAGCGTGGACGTCATCACATGGTGGTGGTGGTGGTGGTGGTGGTGGTGGTGGTGGTGGTGGTGGTGGTGGTGGTGGTGCTTTAATGAAAGCTTGGAACGTAGAGCTGAAAACACGGGAGGGCAGGAGGGAAGAAGAAGAGAGCACATGGGGGGAAGGAGACCGATAGTGTAGGCGATGGGAGAAGGGAGAGCTGGGTGCAAGAAAGGGGAGATTCGGCAGGTAGGGGAAGACAAGGGAAGGCGCAAGAGAGAAGCTTCAGCAAAGGAGGGCCATACTTCTGGGGATGGTGCGGTTGAGAGCGGTGCTGTGGGCCCTGAACAACAGGCGTGTCTGGTCGTCCTGCTGCTATGCACTGGAAGAGAGAGGGAAAGGGGTGGGGAAGAAGCGGGATGAGGAAGGGGGAAGGAGAGGGGGGAGAAGCGGGATGAGTAGGGGGGGAGGGGAGGGGGAATCAGGGGAGGGGAGGGGGAATCAGGGGAGGGGAGGGGGAATCAGGGGAGGGGAGGGGGAATCAGGGGAGGGGAAGAGGGGGAACAAGGGAAATATAGGGGACAGTGTTGTGAAGAGATGCAGGATAGGAATGAAGCTGTGGGTGGGCTGAGAGCAAGTAAAAGGGAGAAGCTTCTTGGAAAATTGAGAGGTTCCAGAAACACAGACTATGATAGGCCTGCTGTACCTGATCGGTGGTAACCACATCTGTGAGTGGTCCCGTTTCACGACACTTGGACTGACCCACCTATGCCTGGGGACGCGTTTATAATAGCGTAGATCGTAGCGCGCGCGTCTGGAGCCATGTGCTACTCGGAATTTGAGCTTAGAAAGCCGCAGCTGAAGGTACTTTGAAGCCGAAAAGTAAGTAGCGTCCTGATATTGAGAACAATTCTGCTGATACGAGAAACTCTTCTGTTGGATTGAAGCAAATATGCTGGGTTGATATCTGGGTCTAGTGTCTGTGGTGTGAGCGAGCCGAATGAAGAGTTGGCGAAGAGCTGTTTCCTGCGAACGTGTTACCAAGACTCGTTCGTCCGTACACGAAAGGGTTTGGGGCGATTTTGTTTCTTCAAAAATCTGTCGGCTTCGTCGTCCATGTGGCTCAACGAACGAAACGGTAACACAAGCCGAGTGAACATGCTGGGCCACATGGGTTCCTCCACGACGAAATGCGGCGAACCTCAGCGACAAGACAGCGAAACTACGGCAGAAGAACCAAGCCCGAGATCCAGAATCCACCATCTTCAAGCTACGAGGCACGAGAGTAGCCATCACTGGTCAAGCTCCCTCCAGCCAGATCTGGCCTTCACCGCCATTGCTCCACTAAACCACCACTTGCTTCCCAATCGCTCTAGTCATTAGTTTGCAGGACCGTTCGAACGGCTCTAGTTTCCTAATCGATCTACCTTACCGTAGTTCACAGCAACTTGAGAACAAGGTCTCAAGCTGGAACAGATCCATCGTCCAAGTTGCGAGCATCATTCAAACGAATGCTGAACGACCTCATCTTCCGTTGAGATACCACGAGTCAAAACACACTCGTTTATAGGGTCTAGGCTTCAAGGTCTCTGCATCCAGTTCTTTCATAGGATCTTAGCAATCTCGTCTGCTATGGAAACGATGGAGTCAGCGACACATATTCACGACCTTCCCAACGACGTCCTCGCTAGGATACTATGGCATAGAGAGGAGTCAACACCTTGGAAGTCGGACAGTGACGCATTATGGTATCGGCATTCATTGTACCAGAAGCCACTGTACCTTCGCTCGATCGTTCTAGACGAAGATCCAATTCCTGAGGAAGAGTCGTATCCAGTGTTGTCCCCCTCCGCGGGTCCAACCGCTACCAAGATCTTCCTCGTGTCGTCGGTGTGCCGTCGTTGGCGCGATGTAGCTCACCGTGACGTCTCCACCCTGCTCGTCGAACGAAAGCATGCCATTTCCCTCCAACAACTCTCGAATGCCGTCGCGTGCTTCCCGAATCTCAACCATCTCCATCTGTGCGACGACAGCGTGGAAACCCTAAACGACTCCTTCCTCGCTCACCTCGCGTCATCCTGTCCTCAGCTCAAGACTCTCCACGTGGGACGCGGGATCACTCAGCATCGGGAATACGTCGGACCGAAGCATAAGCACCCGATCACCGAAGCCGGCCTGGATCGCTTCTTCCAGCGATGCACTCAGCTGGAGCAGCTTTCACTGCTCTGTCTCCATCGAGACACTGAGCTACCCGCTTCCTTCTTCCACCTCACGCGTCTTCACACCCTGGCTGTACCAACCGCCTCCGCCTTAGAAGCTCTAGATCTGGAGACCCTCGGCTCGCTCACCACTCTCCATATCGCCTCCCCGGAGTTGACCGAGGAGCAACTGGCCAACGTGCGTCGTCTTTCCAGCATCACCAGCCTTTCACTCTCTCCCGCGACCTCGTTTTCTCCTGCCAGTGGTGACTCGGGCTCGGCTGCCCTCGCCATCGCACAGCTACCGTTGATAAAATCGTTGGACATCGGCAGAATGGTGCTGTCGGATTGGCCATGCACGAGCCTGGAACGGCTGCGGATATCAGGCTGCGGGGAATTGGAGCGGCTTCCGGACAGCATTGCGGAGTTGCTGCCGCGTCTGCGTGAGCTGACCGTTTTCAGATGCGATGCCTTGGAGGAGCTGCCGGAAGGATTCTGTTCTCTGGAGCACCTCGAGACCTTGTCAGTCATCGAGTGCGGCGAATTTCGCCGCGTGCCTGAAAGCATTGGGAGGTTGGCTGCCCTGAAGACTCTGGTTCTTGAAGAGCTGCCCCTTTCGAGCCTCCCTGACTCCATGTGCCAGCTCGGCTCTCTAGAGACCTTCTTCCTGCTATCCTGCAAATCAATCCGCGAGCTGCCAGCAGATTTCTGCTGCCTCACGGCTCTCACGACTCTCTGCCTGGGGTACGTGGCGCTTCCAGCGGACATGGGACGCCTGAGTAACCTCCACACGCTGCTTGTGAGAGACATCCTTGGACATAAGCATCTCCCATGCTCGTTATCCGAGGTCGCATCGCTCACGAGGCTTGAGCTGCTCCTGTGCGGCGTGGAGGAGCTGCCAGAGGGCGTGGGTGATCTCAGCAGCCTGCGCGAGCTGCACGTCTCATGGTGCCCTCAGCTCACGGCTCTTCCAGCGTCCGTGACGGACCTGACTGCCCTGGAAGCTCTCTCTCTCGCTGACTGCGAAAATCTGGCCTCGGTGCCCACAAGGCTGGACGGCCTGACGCGGCTCAAGCGGCTGGAGGTGGCCCGATGTGACAGGCTGACACAGCCTCCTCTAGTCCTGCCGGCTTCGGTTGAATGGCTTAGTTGGGGAAATTACAGTCAAGCGATGGCTCTGCCAGAGGTCTCCCGGCTGACGGGGCTTGGAACGCTCCGCCTGGACGTAGTTGCGGTGGCGTGTGGGGTCGCTGTGAGCAGGAGCCTGTCGCATGTGGAGCATTTACGGCTGTCATTGGGAGGCAATGCGGAGGAGCTTCCATTCGCCTTGACGTTCCTCTCCCGCCTGCGCACGCTGATCATTGACTGCGCGTGGAGTCTCCAAAGGCTGCCGGCCGACATCGGGTCCGCAGTGCCGCAGCTGCGGAAGCTGCTGCTGATAAGTGCGTACAAGTTGAGGGAGCTGCCAGCGAGTGTGAGTGCGCTGCAGAACCTGACGTCCTTGGGGGTTTTTGACGCGCCCAACCTGGCTTCTCTTCCGCCTGCCATTGGTGCCTTATCTGGGCTGCGGGAGCTGCTGATTGGATCCTGCAAACAGCTTGAGCAGCTGCCCGCCTCGCTCACACAGCTTGCCCGCCTGAACCAGCTTACCATTTCAAACTGCCCCATTCGCTCCCTGTGTCCCACTGCTGCACAGTTCCAGCGGCTCAGATCCCTCAGTTTGTCAGGCTGTGCGCAGCTGGAGGCATTGCCGGGGGATTTGGGTGAGCTGAAGGCACTTCGGATGCTGGATGTGTATGACTGTAGGCTTGTGAAGGACAGTGTTGGGTCAGTGCTCCCCAGAAGCATCAATGAGGTGTACGGGCTGAGAATATGCAAGTAGGTAGGTACCGTACCAGTAAGGTACTATGGCATGTACCGTACCATAGCATCTCTTTGATAGGCTGTTTCCTTGGCTGTGATGTGATGGCTCTGAGGTGGGCAGTACGGATAGGAAGGCAAGGCGAGGAACGAATACAATCTGAAGAGATAGTTAGGGAGGGTTCCGATTCTCAACACCTCGAGGAATGATGCTGAGGGTAATTACTTCCCTGCCTGACTGCTGCTGCTGTGTTACCATCGCTGCCATCTACCGTAAGCTCCCGGATAGTAGACCCCCCGGAATACAAGACCCCCGGGTCTGTATTACGGGGTTGGGTCTTTTATTTTGGCAGGGTTTCACTATACCCCCCCCTAGAGGGCAGGGCTGACGATATCAGGGTAATTACCCTGATTTCGGGGTGATTACAGGCTTATGACTTGGTGGTCCCTGCAAACACAGGTTTTGTATTTTGTGAACTCTGATCCTATCAGAGTAGCTACTTAACGGACTCTGAATTCTTGTAACTAGGCTCAGGGTAGTGTACTTGCCGAGTCTGTGAATGCTGAGTATGCGTTCCGTGGACCCTGAATGCGAGGGTATTGGGACGAAGTTTCCTAGAAGTTTCGTTTCGATAACCCCCTTGTGCGTAATCATTTCTTCGAGTGGCCCCATGTGAGGTACATCACTCACGCGCCCGTGAGTGACGTAATACCGACAAAGGACACCACTTACGTGCTGTACATCACAGCTGTCAACCACGCCAACGCAGCCAACTCAATGAGACGGTGCAGCCACGCGCACCGCACAGTGCACAGCATGTGTCTGCCATTGGCCAGAATGGTCTGTAGACAGCATGCGGTGGCAGCCAAGGAGTCCGTGAATGAATTCGGCCTTGAATGCAAGGACGAATTCATCTAGGAATGTTGCCATCAAGTCCGTGGAATCGCGGCGCGGTGGTTTCGTGCTCCCGCCATCTCCAACCTCCCCTTCCCTCCCCATACCAGCAGCCAACGTTCCTTTGTTCACTAGTGTGTTATTTCCATTACGTGCCTTCATTGTCCCAATTTTCTCTCGTTCATTTTAGCCACCAATGGAGGCCATGTCGGCCGACGAAGCTGCTCCGGACACTGGCCCCGACGAGCCGCCTGTAAGAGCGAAAACAACAGCGCCGTACCATCCGGAGAAAGCTTCGGATGCTCCCCGCTCTGGGCTAGATTTTATTAGATCTACGGCTGCTCCCGTCACACCTGAACCGCCTAGGTCTACCGTTCACGATTCTGCCCTTGTAGTAACCCCTACTCCTACTGCTTCTCCTACTCCCGTCCCGTTCACTCTCCCTCCGGCTGTTGCTGGCTGCAGCAAAAATCCTCCACCGCCCTCGCCCAGTCTTACTCCAAGCGCGGTGCGGGTGTCCGTTGGCCCGCCGTCGGCTACTTCCACTCCCAAGCGTGCGCGATCTGGAAAGTGGGCGCAGAGTACTCTGCTGGTGGGAGGCCGCCGTATTCCACCGCCGGAAAAGCCCGATGAGCCTGCACAGGAAGGAGCTGAGCTGCCGGAAGAAGGTGACATCCCGCTACGCGCGGATACCGGCTCGCCAGCACTCACCAAGACGCAGCTGCGAGAGCAGATGTACCTGGAGGCGAGTATTAATTACGAGACGAAGTGGGCTGGATACTTTTCCTGGCTTGTGTTTGGGAAAACCAAGGACGGTTTCCCGTACGTGAAGTGCAGCGTCTGCATGTCGTACGGTAAAGGGAACACGAGGTACGCCATGCATGGAGACGACGGAGGCCGTGACTTGCAGACGCAGGCGTTCCGGGCGCACGAGCATACGGAGGCACACATGGCGGCGGTCGACCGCCAGATGAAGATTGCGGCGGGAATCCGCGAGGGTCAGCAGGTGATTTCGGACTTCATCAACTCCGACGTCGAGGGCCGCCGTGCGATACGGCTGATGCGGTCGACTCAGTTCCTGTGCCAGTGCGACGCGCCGATTAGCATGTTTCCTAAGCTGATGCGGCATCTTGCGGAGCAGGACACGCCAGACATTCCCCGGCAGTCGTACGGCGTTTATCTCACGCGGTTAGTGACGGTTCAAATTGCTTGCAAATTTAAACATGCACGTCAAACAACTTGCTTGACTATCGTGTACTGATAATTTCTCTATCCTTTGTTGCAGCTACGGCTTCCAGCAGATGGTCCACAGCATGAGCACTTACCTCACCCGGGTGCAGATGGACCACGTCTTAGCATCACCGTTCCTGGGCATCCAGTGCGACGAGAGCACTGACCGCACGCGAGGGAAACACATGATTGTGTACCTTACATATCTGAAGAACCGCCAAGTTGCATGCGAGGTTTTCACTTTGCTGACGGTCGAGCGGTGTGATGCAGGGTCCTTGTTTGAGGTGCTGCTGAACCATCTTCGCTCCGCTGCCGTCGATGTGTCCAAGATCGTCGGCATCAGCACGGACGGGGCGTCGGTCATGACCGGGAGAGAGAACGGATTGGTGGCGCGTCTACGTGAACACGTCCCTCATCTGTTCTCATGCCACTGCATCGCCCATCGGTATGTGAGTTGATCAATATTGTAGCATGTTATCTACGATGATTGGTTTACTAACAAACCATAATATTTGTTCCCTGCTTTACACAGTGAGGCGTTGGCTGTGAAGGACGCCGCTGAGTCAAACCCGGATCTCGACATGGTCGACAAGGTGGTGCGCACTGTGGCGACTCTGCTCGGAAACTCCAGCGTGTGGAGTCAGCGGTTCAAGTACCTGCAACGTGTGATTTACAAGACCAACCTGGAAGTCCAAGGCATACACACGGTGCGGTGGCTGTCTCGAGGAGATGCGGTGGCCAGGCTGTGCAAGGTCCTCGGCGCTTGCATCGTTTTGCTCTGGGAGCACAATCACAAGGCGTACGAGATTGTCACCTGCTACAAGTTTCAGTTCTGCTTGTTTTTCTTGGCCGACATCTTGGCGGACATGAACGACCTCAACCGCTGCTTCCAGAGACGAGAGGTGAGGTCGCATGTTTGTATGATGTTGCTACGTGAGGTTCGTAACTGCACTGTTGCTCATCCTTCTCCCTCTTGTCTACCCCTGCTTTGCCACAGCTGGACGTGACAGAGATTGCAAAGATGATCGAGTCCACAACGAGTGACCTGGTGGAGCGCTACTTGACGCCAGAGAAAGCTTTCGGGGGCGAAGGGAAGAGCTGGCTGGTGACATTCCTCAAAGTCCACAAGGAGGGTGGAGGCAAGCAGGTCCGGGTGCGCGGCGTGGACGGTGCTGGGCGCCCGATCAACCACCTGTACACCATGCATGAGCGGAAGCTGAAGGGGCACAAACACGGAAGCACCTACGCAGACTGCGTGAAGCTGTGCCGCAAATTCGCCCGTGACTGCGTGGACAACCTCACCAACCGACTGGATGACCTTGGGAAGCTGGGGCCGACGAAGCTGTTCCGGGCGGGCAAGTGGCCGAAGATCAAGGCCCAGCGAGAGAAGAAGTGTAAGGAGTGGCTGAACGGGTGCAGCAAGTTGTTCCGCAACAAGCTGCCGGGATTCGACATCAAAGCAGCAGAGAGGGAGCTTCCAACCTTCTGCGCGATCATGGAGGCACACCATGAGATGGAGAGCTTCACCCAGGGCCTGTCCAACTTCCTTGGGAGCGCAGACTCCAAGAGGTAGCCTTTACTTTGCGTCCATGGGTTTTACAATCTTGTTGATTGCTAGCTAATTCCGTTGTGGTGTGTGTACGCATGTGCCTGGCAGGAGATGGCCCAACCTCATCCTGCTGTGGCAGGCGCTGGCTGTGCTCCCTCTCTCCACCGTGGAGTGCGAGAGGGGGTTCTCCAGGCAGAACGTCATCAAGTCCTGGGTGCGAGGAGCGCTGTGCAACGCGCGTCTGGGGGAGCTGATGCAGATATCGCTCCTCAAGTATGAGATCGACTGGCCGGAGGCACTGGAGGTGTGGAGGTCCCTGCGTACTAGGCGCCCTGCGAAGAGCTTGAAGCTGGCTGTAGCAGAGAGGGAGAGGAAAGGGAAGCAAAAGGAGGGTGAAGATGTGGCTGCTCGAAATGCCCGGGAGAATGAGGATGAGGAGGAGGAGGAGGACGATGAAGTGGAACAGGCCTTTGACGACGATCAAGAGATTGTGGGGGAGGAGGAAGTGGAGGACAATCCATTCCTGTCGGACGATGAGGATGTGGAGGAGGTGTACTTCATAGACAAGCCCGTGCACTAGACTAGATAGAGTAGGAAACTGCATGCACTTATCTTATTTAGGAAAATAGTGCATTGTAGATACCGTAGCAACCCTGTTTTTGAGCTGTGAACCCTGTCCGGTCAGGGTTGGACTTCGTGTGACACTGAGCAATCAGGGTAGCTACCTTGCGAAAAATGTGCCCACATAATAGGGGGTCAAATTTTTTACTGGAATCAGGGAGTCTTAAAACGAAACGTCAGCCCTGCTAGAGGGGTAAACAATACTAGACCCCCTTCCTTATGGTTGTCACTAGTTCATAATGGAAATAAGATGTCATTTCAAGTGCTTCACTAGCAAGACAAGCTTGACACCAATGCAACCTATTCACGGTTGGCATTTCAGAGATTTAGGGGGCAACAAGGGGTGAAAGGATTGACATGCCTCCCATTGAACAGTAGGGGTTGCTGCACGGGCCACCGTGCAGCCCCTGCGCTCGAGCCGTGCATGTGTCACGGTGTCGAGGTGGGATGGCACGCTGACGAGCCACAACGCGAACCTCAATGCTGGAATGTGGTAACGTGCGATTTTGGCCAATGAGAAGGCCACAAACTGATTCCCCTATGTGATGTGGGCTACATCGCAGAAGTCGCACATGTGCTGCCCAAACAACAGGGAAAAAGAATGTCAAGCATCCTCATCAATGAGGCATTCCATTACACCATTAAAAATTATATCAATTTAATAAGACCCGGGTACTAAACAATCTTGTGCCGTTGACAAGACCCCCCTCTATTTTTTTATGAATTT